TACTTGTGATGAACGAAATTTGCTATAAATCGAGAATGCTTATTGGAATCAGGCTATTTATCTTTTGTTAGTCTAACCACAAATATGATACATTTGGATGGATTTATTTATTTTTATGCACAACAGGCCGTTAAGGCCTAGGGCTTTTTTTTAACATAATCCTAATAGTAACTAATTACAATTATTTTAAACAAAACTTGAACTTAAATATGTATATACAACATTCAACTACTCTGAAGGACCTAGTGGACAATATTTCTCCATTCGCTTTTATTTTGTGCTTTTCTTTTTCAGTCCCTTACCTTCACGTCTTTAAGTTCTTCCTCCACTGTACTAATCCACCTCGTTCTGGGTCTACCTCTTCTTTTTGGGGCCGATTAGTTTTCTGGTTATTAATAGTTTGTGCATTCTGTTGCTGCCATTCTTTCCACATGTCCCAACCATCTGATTCTTTGTGACTTGACAAACTTAGTAATGGTAGGATCTTTGTATAAAGCCATTAATTTATTATTGGTTCTTCTCTCCCAACCATCTTCCGTCTTCCGTCCTCCGAATATGCGTCTTAATATTTTCCTTTCCCATCTTTCCAGAGTATCCTCTTTCTTCTTATTTAATATCCATGTCTCACTGGCATATGTTACTGTGGGTCGAATTACTGTTTTATATATTCTGAGTTTATCTTATCTAGAAACGTATTTTGAGTTCAGTAGGGCTCTTAAACTACCTAATTTTTTATTTCCTTTTGCTACTCTGGCTTCGAGCTTCCATTTTTCTTTTCTATTTTTATCGAAAACTACACGCAAGTATTCAAATTTGTCCACCCTTTTAAAACTATAACTTTTACCACTTACAGACGTCACACTAAAGTCTTCTTTTTCCCTTCTATCTCTCCCATCATCATATATTTGGTTTTGTCTTGATTTAGTTCCAATCCGAATGTCTGTGCTTCTTCGATGATTTTCTTCACAACTCTTCTTAATTCTTTCTCGGTTTTTGCTAGGCTCGTTAAATCGTCAGCAAATTCCAAGCACTGGTGCTCATTTTTCATTATTGTCTCTTCCACCTTCATGTTGCATTTTCTGATTACAGTTTCTAACACTAAGTTGATAATATAGTGGATAAAGGATCTCCCTGTCTCATTTTACAACAGTAAATTGATCTGATATATGACCCTGCCAAGCAATTTCACACTTAGAGTTATTTAATGTCATATTAACTAGCCAGATCAGTTTCTTTGGTATATCCAAATGTTTCATTGCTCGATACATTTTAACTCTATCAACTCTCTCATATGCTTGTCTAAAACTCACAATCAAAACACGCAGGGGAACTTTACCTTCATAACAAGTTATTTGTATCTCCTTTAATGAGAAGATTTGGTCTACAGTAGATCTGTCATTTCTAAAGCCGGCCTGATACTCATGTAGGATTCTTTCCGTGTAGCAATTTAGTTTATTTCTCAATATTTTTGCCAAGATTTTGTATACCGTGTCTAGTAAGGCTATACCTCTATAGTTGTCACACTTCAGTTTGTCTCCTTTTTTATACAGAAGGCATATGCGGGCCTCATACCACTCCGATGGCATTATTTCCTTTTCTCATACTTGCACTAGTAGCTGATATATTTTCTTTATAGTTGTTCTCTACCAAACTTGATCATTTCTATGCATATGTCATTTTAACCAGGACTTCTGTTATTCTTCATATATTGTATTGTTGTCACCATCTCTTCCTCTGGAGGCTGCCTTTTAACTATCGCATCTTCTCCAACCGTCCAGTTGTCTACTGCTTCGTGGTCGACCTCAACATTTAATAATTCTTCAAAATGTTTTTTCCATTCCGTCATTATTGCTGCCAGATCGCTAATTAAATTTCCGTCTTTAACTTTCATATAACTACAGTGGCTTTTTTTACCTTTTCCCACCATTTTAACTTCGTGATAGAACGATCTCACCTCTTTGTTTTTAATTTTCTCTTGGATCTCTTTTAATTTCAACTCATTGTGGTATCTCTTTTTCCTTCTACACAGAGCTTTTAATTATTTCTTGAATTATTCTATATTCTTGTTTTTACGCTCTCTATTATCTGTTAATATTTGTTGTCTGATCTTTTTATTTTTCTTCGCTGTCGCCTGACACTCTTCATCAAACCAATCTTTGTTTGTACTTCTCTTGGAGTCGCACTTAACTATTTTCTCGCAATCTTCTCCTACGGCAGATTTAATTTGTTCCCAGGCTTGATCTGTCTGTAAATTTTGGTCACATTGTTGTAGAATTTTATTTATTTCTTCTTCATATATATTTTTTATTTCTACTTCCTTAAGTTTTTCAATATTGTACATTCTCTTCGTTTTATTGTTCGATTTCTCTTTTTTTCCAGCCTCTATCCACATGTGACTTTAACGAGGTAATGGTCCGAGTCGATTTCAGCTCCTCTCATACCTCTTACCTTCTAAACGATATTCATATATTTACTTTCAATTATAACATGATCTATTTGATTCACCGTCCTTCCACCTGGGGAAACCCACGTACCTATTTATCTCTTTATATATATATATATATATATATATATATACTTAGAGCTAAGATTAATATTATTACTAAAATTAATATCAAACTCACCAGTCTTCCGGGTTGAACCGCGTCGATATCCATTTTGCCGAGCTTTCGGCATCCTCTCTGATGCCTTCCCTAGGGCTTCCCAAGTCTCAGTCTCCTGAGCCCCCAGACACTACTACTATGTTCACTGTTCACTACGCTGTCACTACTGTAGTAGTGACAGTGAACAGTGTAGTAGTGTCTGGGGGCTCGGGAGACTGAGACCTTGAAAGCCCTGAGGAAGGCATCAGAGTGGATGCCGAAAGCTCGGAAAAAGGGATATCGACGCTGTTCAACCCGGAAGACTGGTGAGTTTGATATTAATTTTAGTAATAATATTAATCTTAGCTCTAAGTTACATTGTACTAACCGCGGAAATCTTTCCGAATATATATATATATATATATATATATATATATACATATATATATATATATATATATATATATACATATATATATATATATATATATATATATATATATACATATATATATATATATATATATATATATATATATATATATATATATATATATATATAATATATATATATTTACTAGGTGTCGTCGCTCGGAAAATGGTGCGTTTCTTAAGTATGGGCTGTATGCACCATTTAAAACAAAAAAAGTCGGGCATTTTTTACATTTGGTACCAGTGAAGATAACCTCAAATGAGCTATCAACTAAGTTTCACAGAACGAAATATTGCATTGGCAGAGTTGCCACGTTATTATAATGTACATGTTATATACTTCAAATACAAAGAGAGAAATCCCTTAAAACGTACATTTTTTTACGTACATTATGTATTATATTTTTTTATGGATTATGCAATTTTATAACATATAACATATTAATGAAATAATATTTGTTTATTTTTAAATTAATTGTAATTAATTGCCCTTTGGTAGGTCAGTGGATCGATTTGACAATAGAGTCAGAAACCTCAAACCACCAGTTGACAGATTGCAACAGATATCTTTTAAACTTTATTACTTATTTATTTATACTGACATTTTACTATTTACTTTTAAAAACTGTTTTAAAACTATTTACTTATTCTTTTTTTAATAATTCTAAAGTATTAATTTTTAAATATTTGATTGCTTTTAACTGTATATATTTCATTTGTAATGTAAATTTAAACAGCAATATTTCGTTCTGTCAAACTCATTTGAGGCTATCTCTACTGGGACCAAATGTAAAAAATGTCAACCGCTAGAAAAAAAATTGATAAATTTAATCTAATTTATTATTATTTAGAGAAAAGCACATGCAGCCGCCAAAGTTGCCCACCTTGTTATACTACGTTAATTAGAACATCAAGAAACCATGGACTAAATGCTAAATAAGTGGTTTTGGATTAAGTCTGGAAAAATCCAAGAGTAAGTACTCGATCGGTGGCTAGAATGGTTGAAATTTCTGAAACGTTGTTCATAAGACATTCACAGAATAACTAGTAAAATATTTACACCAAGCGATTTACCTCGAAGATTAAGGTTTTGCAGATGGTTTCAAAACAAAATCGCTAGAGAACCTGCTTTGCCGTGCAGTGTTGTATGCAGATTAAGCTTGTTTTATGGAAAATGGTGTGTTTAACTTTTACAATTGCTACGCGTGGAATGACAAAATCAAGGATAGGATAGGACAAATTAAAAAAAGAGTATACATTTATGGGCTGAGAATGTTGGTAATCCTTAGCCATATGATTGGACCATACGAACTTTAAATGAAGACTCAACTATTGAGATCAGACTTAAATTTTTTGCAACATGTTCTACCGATTCAACCCAAAGACGTACCATATCTAAAATTATTAGCATACGACAACCAGGATGAAATTGAAAAAAAAAATTTTGTTGTACATTCACATACTTATGATATTAATTATAATTAGATTAGTTGAATAAATGCATATGTCAGTGTAGATGGCGGTCACTTCCAACCTTTATCGTAATATTAATTTTTCATGTAAGTTAGAACAGTATACAAACCTTAATTATTAGATATTTAATAAAGCTAAATATGCTTTTTCTCTATTACTGGTTGTAATGTAATGTAATACTTGTAAATTATGCTTGTTCCTAACGATCGATGATTCATGATAACTGATTCACAGTAATTAACGAAGTAAAACAAGGAGCAAAACGTTGCCGACTGTGTTTGCTTTTCTGTGGACGATAACCTTTTATGTGAAAAAAAATATAAGACTTTTTGCAAAAATTGGCAAATTTTTTTTTGTCAATTAAAAGAATTCCGTATTAAAGCATAGTTTTTAATTTTAAACAACTTTTCATGACAATAATTTTCCATATTGTGAAATATAGTACGAGAATATGCAAAAGATATGTAAAAAAAGTGGTCACACAATTGTACTTAATATATATGGAATACTCACCCTTTCTTTTATTTTACTTTTCATAAAGCTTTTTAAAAGTGTAAGAATTTTATCTATAAAAGCAGGAGGATTAAGTAGGTGTAATTGTTTAAGTCTGCTGCTTTGTACTTTCTGTAACATATAATTAGTTTAGTATAAAATAATAAAGTAGTATCGGAAATCTTACTCTTTGTTCAATAAAATTAGTTCTATATCTTTTTTTGGCATATTTTGCATGGTTTGCCAATATTTATAAAGTTGTATATACAATACCAAGATTCTGTTTAAAATCGCCACACCAGAATAATCCAAATGGCTTATCATCAAACAATATTCCAAATATTACACAGAAATTATGTTAGAAATATATATTAAATTCATATTAAATAAAAATTGGAAACGGATTAAAAAGTATTGTATGGTGTATGGTATAAAAAATATGTTAGGTAGGTAAATTGGAGAATGAGGCAATCAAAATTGGCCTTAAAATCGATGTCAATAACACTATAAAGCTGAGAAAAAAGTAGGTAAACAAAAATGTTATACGTCAATCAAGAAGTTTTCTTCTTCTTCTTCAAGTGCCCTGTCCGTTGCGAATGTTGGCTATTAACATGGCAATTCTAATCTTGTTTGCGGCGCTTCTGAATAGTTTGACCGATGTGAGCCCGAACCACTTCCGCAGATTTTGGAGCCACGAGTGTCTTCTCCTGCCTGGCCCTCGCTCACTGTCTATTTTTCCCTGGACAATCAATTGCAGCAAACGGTACTTATCGTGTCTCAATATATGGCCTAGATATTCAAGCTTTCTTTGTTTAATTATATTCACGATTTCTTTCTCCTTTCCGATTCTTTGGAGTACCTCTATGTTGGTGCCATATTCGGTCCAGAATATACGAAGAATGTGTCGGTACGCCCACATTTCGAATGCTTCTAGTTTTCTCGTGAGCGTCTCCTTCATTGTCCAAGCCTCCACACCATAGAGTAAGATCGGAAAAATGTAGCATTTAACTAGACGTAGTTTTAGGGGAAGAGACAAATTCTTGCTTAAGAGGAGCTTTTTCATATTGCTAAATGCTGCTCTAGCTCGTTCTATTCTCGACTTAATTTCTGTGGCCTGTTCCCATTTTGCATTTACGTTGGTGCCAAGATACACATAAGATTCTACATGATCAATTAATATGTTACTCATCCGTAATTGTCGAGCAGGTTGTTGCTTTTTGCTTAGCAGCATCCACTTTGTCTTCTTGAAGTTGAGGCTCAGGTCGTATTCCTCATTAACACAAGAAGTTTTAAGACACATTAAAGAATTTTGTTATCCAAGTAGTAAGTGAAAGTAAAAAATACACACTGGACGAATAAACAAAGAAAGTTTGACAAACAAGAATGTATAGAGATAATTACCAAAGTATGACGAAGAGTTGAAGAGACAGCAGCTGTGGTCATAAATAGTTGAATGGATAAATGTGCACTTAGCAAGATTTTTAAGCGCTCTGTCACATCTTCGTTTTCCAACGAAACACAAAACAAATTCAAAGCACAAAACCCAAGATATTATAATATTTAGAAAAGCAAATTATGGTTATTATACCAATGGATTTAAAGTAACATGTCCCGGAACAAGAAATTGCACAGATGAAGCGAAAGAAAAAAAAGAACATTTATTCAAAAGTAAAAAAAGTAACATGTACAATGTACAATTTAGAAAGAAATTATTCATCTGTCATATATATATATATATATATATATATATATATAATATATATATATATATATATATATATATATATATATATATATTGTCATATATATATATATATATATATATATATATATATATATACGAAACAACAAACTTAAAAATGGTAATTTCAGAGATTTTAACAATGTTGGAAAATACTGCGAATGGATTAAATTATGCAGCAGTGACTCAACTAAAGACACTTTGACGCAGTACGAAAGAAGGTACACAAGATCGAAACCGTACAGGTATAACGAAGAATTAGAACAGAATATTGAATAAAAGACGAAAAAAGATTAACAATGGCCTAAGCTTTAGTTAGATCAAGTAGCGTATATAGAAAAGCGGGGTAGAGTACGATAAAATATATGCTAGAAAAAAATTAAGCTGGGGAGAGATTTTGTGGCAAAATTAATTGTTGTCTTAGAGGTCACAGAAGTATAGAAACCTGGAGACCCATTAAAACCTTACGAGCTAATAATAAAAAAGAATTAATATCACCAATAACAGCACAGCAGTGAGATGAGTATTTCAAGGAGCTTTTAACTGACGACAGAGTTCAGTATCTCAACATAGTCGGAGGCAAAAATGTGATAACGGCCGGATCCATTTTGAGAATAATCTCATTGGATAAGACAGATATATAAGGTTATAAAAATAAAAACGCTCCTGGACTGGGAAACATCCTTGTAGAACTCATTAAACATAGACCGGAACTGTTACATTGAAAATTGAAAACTGTATAATTTCGACAATCCATAAGCCACTGCGGTAACTACCGCGTTATCTCGGCTACTACCACAGTTATCAGATTAAATAGAATAATCCTTCAAAAATGGGTTAAAGAAAATAATAAAGATATGGAAGGAAAACCAGGCAGACTTGGCAGTAGGAAGGTCCACGACAGACCACCTTTTTTGTGTAACAAGTAGTTCAAGTAGTTCAGAAGGAGACAGAGTTTGATCAAAAAGTTTAGTCTACATAGACACTTTCTTCTTCTTCTTTAAGTGCCATCTCCGCGACGAAGGTTGACAACCATCATGATGGATATTCTGACCTTGGAGGCAGCAGCGCTCTAAACAATTGCCTTGAGCTGCAACCAAACCACTTTCAGGTTCTTCAATCAGGAAACGCGTATTCTTCCTGCGCTTCTCCTATTCTCTATTTTTCCTTGAATTATGAGTCTCAAGATGTTGTATCTTTCGCCTCTCATCACATATCCGAGATATTGCAATTTCCTTTCTTTAATTGTATTTTCCATATCCCTCTCTCTTCCTATTCTCCTTAACACTTCTGTATTCGTGACTCTATCTACCCACGGAATCCTTAACAATCTCGATTAACTCGATTTATTGTATTCCGTTTTAATGTCCATGATTCAGCTCCATAGTAGAGTACACTCTGTACAAAGCATTTAATTGATTTTATTCTGAGGGCCAATGTCAGATCTTTGCTGCATAAAACCTTTTTCATTTTCACGAAGTTTCTCAATCCTCAATTCTCAATCTTCTGGCCGCCTACCGTTAATATTTCGTTTATATTGTTGATCTCGCTAATTTTCATGAATTTGTTTTTGTTGATGTTAAGAGAGTCCGTGTTCTCCACTATATCTTAATATTTTGTTTAATATTCTTAATAAATCTTCCAAGTTGTCGGCTATGATGACTGTATCGTCGGCACACCTAATGTTGTTAATTAAACTTCCGTTCACTTTTATGCCGACTATCTCGTTTATCAAAGCTTATTGTATGATTTTTTTAGAATAAGCAATTTAACAATAACGGCGACAGTATGCAACCTTGCCTGACCCCTCTCTTTATCTCCACTTCCTCTGACACTTCTCTTCCAATTTTCAAATTAGATCGTTGACTCAATGTTACATCTCTTAAATCCAGATTCTTGTTTTTGAGTACTTCTTTAAGTGTCATATTTTACCTTATCGAATCCCTTGTTATAGTCTATAAAGCATACATAAATACCTCGATTGACATCCAAACATCTTTGGGTCAGCACGTTAAAAGAAAATAGTGCCTCTCTTGTGCCCATTCCATTCCAAAATCCAAACTGGGAATCACTAATATCCATCTCCAGATAACAACCAACTTCACACTTTGTACAGATAATCAGATAGTGGCACAAGTATATAGTAGATGACAAGAAAACTCATACAAGAATAGAAATAACTGGGTTTAGAAGTAAATACGAAGAAAACTAAATACATGTGTATTTAATGAGAACGGCATGACCTACAACCAGAAGTTGTATAGCAAATTAATATTTTAAGAAATATAGTTTTCAGAATTGCAAATAATAAAATTTAATTATAAACTTCTTCTTCTTCTTCTTTATGTGCCGTCTTCTACCGAAGGTTGGCGACCATCATACGATAGGTTTCTCTGTTTTGTGCCGCATGAATTATGTTCGCAGCTTCTGGTATTTGAAACCATTCTCTCAAGTTTCTCAGCCAGGATTTCTTCTTTCTGCCCAAACCTCTTCTACCTTCAATCTTGCCTTCCACGATAAGCTGTAGCAGACTGTACTTATCATTACGGAACACATGGCCCAGGTATGACGCTTTCCTCCTTTTAACAGTTGTTAACAATTCCACCTCTTTACCCATTCGTCTTAATACCTCAGTGTTGGTCACTCTGTCTGTCCAAGGTATTCTCAGTATGCGTCGATACAGCCACATTTCTAGAGCCGCTAACTTTATAGTTGCTGCTGTTAACGTCCACCCTTCTACGCCGTAAAGTAGCGTAGAGAGTACGTAGCATTTCGTGGCGCGCCATCGGAGGTTAATGCTTAGGTTGCGGTTGCTTAAGAGCTTTCTCATTTTGATGAATTTGGATCTTGCTATTTCAATTCGGATCTTAATCTCTAATTCTGGGTCCCACTCGTCATTTACTGTATATCCCAGATATTTAAATCGGTGTACTCTTTCAATACGTTCGTCTTCAATATGCAGGTCGATATGTTGAAATTTTTTTTTACTGATCACCATAAATTTAGTTTTCTTTCTATTGATCTTCAGTCCAAATCGGCTGCCAGTTGTATTAACTCTATGTAGCATCATCTGTAAATCTTCAATGTTATCGGTTATCGGCCAGTATAATAGTATCATCTGCATATCGAAAATTACTTATTGGTACGCCATTCATCTTGATGCCCTCATTGTACTCTTTTAGTGCCTCTAGAAATATTTGTTCCGTGTACAGGTTGAAAAGCAGTGGCGAAAGAATACAGACCTGTCTTACCCCTCTAGAAATGGTTATGTTTTCACTCACCATATGTCCATTCTTCATGGGGGCTGTTTGATTCCAATATAGATTTTTTATAATCTGGATGTCCTTAGTGTCAAGTCCTGAAAGACGTAATAGTTCTATGAGTTTGTCATGTTTGATAGTATCGAATGCTTTCTCATAGTCGATAAAACAGACGTAAACATCTTTCTGTTGATCCAGGCATTTTTGAATCAAAACTTGTATTGCAAAGAGGGGTTCTCGAGTTCCAAAACCGCATCTAAAACCGAACTGTGTTTTACTTATGCTGTGTTCTAATTTTGCTTGTATTCTGGAATGGATAATACGCAAGAATACTTTAAGGGTGTGGCTCATTAAACTTATAAGGCGATATTCACTACACGTCTTAGAATTATATTTCTTGGGAAGGGGCACAAATGTAGATTTCAACCAGTCCGATGGAATTTGACCAGTATCGTATATCTTATTAAACAGTTCCAATACTACATTCAGGTTGTTCTCGTTAAAAACTTTTAAGAATTCGACTGGTATTTCATCGCATCCTGTTGCTTTCCCATCTTTCGTTTGATCTATAGTTTTTATCACCTCACTTTTCAATATTTTTGGTCCATTCAGATCAAGAGTGTTCGTAGAAATATGACGATAATCCGTAAACAAATCTTTTATGTAGATTGCCCAAGTCTGTAACTGTTCTTCTTTATCTACAATAAGTTTATTGTTCTCGTCTATTAACCTACCAAACTGTTTTTTCTTGTAAGTATAAGTAAACTCCTTGATTTTTTTATGCATGTTAAAACTATCGTGTCTTCGTTCTAGCTCTTCTATCTCTTGACATTTTTCTTGCAACCATTTCTCTTTGGATTCTTTTACCTTTCTGCTGACAGTTCTATCCAGTTCTTTATATTGTTCGGGATTATTCTTATTTTCCCTCCTTCTGTCCATAAGGTGTAATATTTCATCTGTCATCCACTCGTTCTTCTTCTTCCGCTCGGAGTCACCAATTACTTCTTTTGCACCGTTGCATATAGCGTCCCTTAAGTTGATCCAGTCTCTTTCAATATCATCAGTGTTGGTTGTTAAAGCAACATTACTATTAATGCTATTTGTAAGCTTGGCTTTTATCTCAGGATTTCTAAGTTGATCCATATCTAATCTTTTGTTATTCTGTTTCTGGATTATGGTTTTTAGTCTTACTCGTAATTGGTCTACAAGAGGATTATGATCAGAGTTTATATCAGCTCCAGGATATGTTTTGGCTGATAATATTGCGTTACGGAATCGTTTGTTAATTGTTATGAAGTCTATCTGATTTCTAACGATGTACTCAGACCTATCCTGTGGTGACTTCCAAGTGTACAATCTTCTTACTGGTAGCTTAAACCAAGTATTTGTGATAATTAAGTTTTTCTCCTGGCAAAACTGTATTAGTCGATCACCTCGTTCATTTCTTGTTCCCAACCCATACTTGCCAACTACGTCACTGACTTCGCCTTTTCCTATTTTGGAGTTGAAATCTCCCATTACCATGGTTATGTCTTGTTTCTTTAGGTTTTTTATGATGTCGTCTAACTGTTCGTAAAACTCTTCAACTTCTTCATCCGTACTCTCCGATGTAGGAGCATAAACCTGAATTATATTTATGTCTAGAGGGTGCGCACTTAGCTGGATCAACATGCAGCGTTCTGAATATGGAATAAAATTTTTTATATGTTTTCTGATGTTATTATTTACTAGAACCGCTACTCCATGCCTATGGTTGACATCTTCTTCTCTGCTGCCTGAAAAAAATATTGTTGCATCCTCCTTCTTCGCACTTACCATTACCTGGCCATCTTATTTCACTCATCCCCAGAATATCAATTTTGAGCCTCTTCATTTCATTAATTGCGTTGTTTAGTTTTCCAGTCTGATAAAGAGTTCTTACGTTCCATGTAGCTATCTTAATAGTATTTTTTCTGATATGTTTATTTGTTTTAAGAGATATAGTTTTCAGAAGCTTTAAAAGAAGCTTTAAGTTAGATGAATACTCAGGTAGGAGAGCTATCTCACGACTCAATATTATTTTCTCGGATGCTATCCAAGGACAATAAAAGACGAAATTATACCATATTTATTGGTAAAAAATAAATGCTTAAAAGCATTGTTACGTAAGGCTCAAAAGTGTGGCAAATACAGAATATAACAAAAAAAATTCTTAACATAACCGAAATGGATATCTGACGACGTTTAGTTGGAAAGTCCAAGCATTAAATACAAACAAATGACTGCATAAGATAAATAATAATAATAATAAATATAAATCATTTGTCCAAAATATACATTAAAAGACGATATTAAAACAAAACAATTAATCTAGTTTTGCCATGTATAGAGAATGGCTAAGGAGTGACTACAAAAAGAGAGTTTACCAATGAAAACGCCATGGGTTGCTAAAGAGACGAAGTTAACAAGAAATTACCGACAAAGAGATGCAGAAAAGGAAGCTTGAAGAAGACCTATGAAAAAATAAAGACCAATGGATAAAAGAGCTAGGACCGTAAATTGGGAGGCGATGCTATAAACCAAAATATATATACCAAGAACAAACAGTTTTATCGCTCAAAGCCAAAAACCAACAACAAATAAGCTCAGTGATACAAAAAAATTAAAGAATATTTTAAACAACATTTCTAAACTTACCTCAAAAACAAAAACACATTGTTTCATGGCTACTAGTGATAGTTTAGCCATAACACTAAACGAGCAGTGTTCGTAATCGATGATAGTCACATCACCCATTGTTAAATCTTCGTGGATTCGAACTTCATAAAAATTTGATAGTGAATTAGCATTAAATTTGTTAATGTCTGCTTTTTGGAGCATATCATTCCTAAATCGAATAATTGAGACTCTGTGTAGTTTTGGAGTTAAATTTGGGAGTATAACCATGCATCTTAAAAGGTTTAAAAATTATTTAAGATCATGTTGTATAACCATCATAAATAATAAATAATTAAACATCATAAGAACCAAATTATACAGTAAGTCCCGATCCTCAGATAAAATTGACACAATTAATAATAAATCCATATAATTTAGAAATAACGAATGACCAAAGATATTTATTAAAATATGAGAACAATTTTACTATTAGTTTATAAATTACAGTGGTTTACAAAACGTTGTTTTGGCACTAAATAGTTTTACACCGGATACAGCTGATCCTAAGAACGGATAAAAAGGGAGTAGCACCTCTATAATCACTATAGTTCAGCTGGCCTGGCTGATAGTATCCAGTAAATTCCCTTTGATTGAGGTTACAAAAGAAGGCCATAACGGTGATAAAGGCAGGTAAAACGAATATTTGAAACGGCGAAGAAGAAGAGTTTAGCTAACGTAGATATGAATCACGAGATTGCCGCTATAGGCAATCCCCATTTACAGACCAACTGCTACGGGTGGAAAAGTTGATAAGTGATAAGGCACTCTTCTGTTCTGGGGTTAAAAAATTAACCCCAAAGGCCTAATAACTAATTAGGAAAAAAATATAATATTACCAACAAAAAAACTAAAACTAACCCATCAGAATCACACAACATTCTGTAAAGATAACAAATATTAAATAAAAGTGTGATAATCCGAAGGAAATTACGTTGATTGAAATGGATTGGCTTTAATGGGTTGAAATGGATCGAAGCTATAACTAGCTGTGCATCTTCCTCCGAATGAAGTGAATGGGCAGAAAGATAAATATAGGCCTTATATAATCCATATAAGTTACTTACGCTGTTGCGTAAGCTGATTCTACTTGAGACGGTATAGTTGGATTGATATTGCGGTATATTTCAGGTACCAAGTCTCTGGCAGTATAGTACATATCTAAATTTTGCTTCGTTTTCTCAATACTGTATTTACAATTTGTCAGAAAAAACTCGATCATAGCATCACCTAAAAGAAAAAAGTTCATATTATTATTATTTTTTAAAGGATAAATTAATCAATATAACATAAGGAACTACTTTCTTAATAGTTTATAACTAGTAGGATTTAACGCAAATTGTGGAGGTATGGTGGCATACCTCCTTCGAACCATGCTTGAACGTGGATGATCATTATGTAAAGTAAGGACGACTGAATGGAAGTTAAGGACGGCTTAAATAAAGTTTCAAGAGGCAACAATGTGTCATTAACTTTCTCCCAGCATGCAGGGCTCCACTGTGAGTGCTCATCCATTGCTTAAATTCTAGAGGGATATTTAATTTCCTTGTCAGGGTTCCTACTTTATTTCTTATACCGCTAATATTACGCCACTTGGGTGCCCTTTTTATCGGCTGTCATTAAGTCAAGGAAGGTGCATAATTGTTTTAAGAAGTAGAGTGAATGGATTTTGGGAACAGCTATGACCTTGAAAATGCCACAAAGAGTATAACTAAATCTCTTTTCTTCCTCAGACTCTTTAAAGTCTTTTACAATGTTTTAGAATCGAAGATATGTAATTATATTATTAATGTATTGGATTTTGACAAGAGCTATGCTATATGCCTATTTAGTACACAAGTTTATGTGAAATGTTCAAGGTCATAGCTGTTCCCAAAATCCATTACCTCTACGTACAAATCAACATGTGCTCAGGATGCCGTATTTTACCACAGTTACATCTGTTACCCTTTTTTAGGATCTAGGGTACCAACGAACAATGTTTTCTTCCAAAGCTAAAAATAACACTGTGATGCAGTGTGTTTTAGGGAGTCAAAAGTCAACACCAGAGGAACAATAATAACAAAAAGTGTACAAATGTTGGCATTTGCAGATGATGTTGATATCATAGCTAGAAGCGAAAGAGAAATGATAGAAGTATTTAATGCGATAGAGAGGCACAAAACAGTGGCCTAAACATTAACGAAATAAAAACCACATACATGAAGGCCAGTAAATCGACAGGACAAAGAAACCTACAGAATCTGACAATACAAGCAGAAGTTAAGAAAAGAATACATATCACTAATAAAACATTTAATGGACTAATTAAACATCTAAGATCTAACAACATCACAACAAAATCAAATACAAAATATACAAGACCCTGATAAAACTGGTCCTTGTATATGGATCAGAGACGTGGACACTGTCGAAAATTGATGAGAACTTATTAGTTACATTTAAATGAAAAATCCTTAGACACATATATGAGGGAAAGGAAAATGACATATGGCGCAGAAGATATAGCTATACACAGCTTACAATGAACCCGAGATCATAACATCCATAAAGATCGACGTCTGCGCTGGATGGGCCATGTTGAACGGAGTTGGAGATTGAAACGCCAAAATATGTAATAAGGCAAACACCAGTAGGGAGAAGGTCAAAGAGAAGACAGAAACTTAGATACATGGAACAAGTGAAACAAGATCTGAAAACACTTAAGATTACCAACTGAAAAAACAAAGCAAAGAACAGAACAGAATGGCGGAAAATCCTAGAACAAGCCAGGACCCAAAAAAGGTTGTCGAGCTACTGATGATGATGATGCAGTGTTTTTAATCGAAGTTATACATAGGATCTTTCTTATTTTTTCTTTTAATTTCAGCAACAACGGTTCTTTTGATGTTATGAGGAGCAATTCCTATTGTAGGGTATATCTTAAAGACTGAAGTGAGTTTTAAATAACCAGATATTATTCGCTTAGTCTGAATAATATCATAATCAATGTGGTAAGTATAAGTACAGCAAGACCAATCTAGAGCTGAGTAGTCTACTACTCGAGTAGAGAAACAAAGAATGGCTGAGATTAAGCATCCCAACTTATTCCAGTTTATGTAACAATAAAACACTGAAAACTTTGTTTTCAAACTTCCACAAAATTTATTTTTAATCTTATCACTACAGCTGTTTCGGCTGATTGTCTTTCTCAAGTGATCTATTTTTGGCTTTGGTTTACAAATTTATAGTCTCTAATGAAATAGGTTGAGGAGGGGAGAACTGTTTGTCTCAAGTTGGTCATTCAGAATTATATCTGTGTTTTTTAATTTGTTGATTTCCATAGATTCTAACAAAGATAGCTTAAGGCCTTTATTTTGAATGTGAAGAATTTTAAATTTGTCATTAAAATAATGATTATGATCTAGAAGGTGAAGTGCGCATGTCGAATCTGTTTTTCTATTCTTGAAAGCCCTTTTATGTTCTGCTATTCGTTTATCAAAGTCTCTACCAGTTTGACCGATGTAAGTTTTTGGGCAGTCGCCACATTGAAGTTTGGACACACCACTATTTAAGTGTTTTTTATTTTGGCTCTTGTTATTTTTAATATATTTGCCTAGGTTGTTATTTGTTCGGAAAGCTGGTGTTATTCCTTTCTTTTTTATGTGTTTGGCAATTTTTGTTGTTATTTTGCCTGTATAAGTAATCGAGCAGAAGGTACTGGGTTTTTTTTCTCTGGTGGTGGAAATACTAATTTCAGGGCTTTCTTGTGTAGTTTTTGATTTAAAATTTTATTAATTGTTTGTTCGTTGTATCCGTTGTTTACTGCTATTTTTGCTTAATTATATTTAATTCTGTCTCAAAGTTGTATTTTGACATCGGAATTTCTGTTAATCTATGTAACATACTATGATAAGCTGCCAGTTTATGTTGTGTTGGATGGGATGATGAATTGTGTATAGTCGTGTCAGTATGGGTAGGTTTATGAAATATGGAGAAGTCATGTTTGTTTTGAAGTCTGCTAATTTTTAAATCTAAAAAATTTATGGATTGATTTTGTTCTGTTTCGATTGTAAATTCAATATGACTATGAAGTGAATTAATATACGATAAAAATTGGTCGAGTTGCCTGTTAGTTCCTGTGAAACATACCAGTACGTCGTCTACGTATCTCCACCAATATAAAAACTGTTTGAATACGGGATGTTTTGAAATCTTTGTCTCTAGATGATCCATAAAAATATCTGATACCAATGGGCTTAGAGGATTACTTTTTGTGCAGCGGTGCTGTGGTTTTTGGTTTTTAACTTAATATATTTCGGGAACACTTTATTTTGTAAACACATATTTAAAAACCAGATGTTTTGGGTCGCCAGTCTACGTTTCAGATGTAATCTTGAAAACAATGTGGTCAAAAGTCCTGTACTGACTTCTTGTAAATAATTGATGGATTCGACCGTTACTTGATGGAAATTCATTTTATGTAACAATAAAACACTGAAAACTTTGTTTTCAAACTTCCACAAAATTTATTTTTAATCTTATCACTACAGCTTTTTCGGCTGATTGCCTTTCTCAAGTGATCTATTTTTGGCTTGGGTTTACAAATTTATAGTCTCTAATGAAATAGGTTGAGGAGGGGAGAACGGTTTGTCTCAAGTTGGTCATTCAGAATTATATCTGTGTTTTTTAATTTGTTGATTTCCACTTCACCTTCTAGATCATAATGATTCTTTGAATGACAAATTTAAAATTCTTCACATTCAAAATAAAGGCCTTAAGCTATCTTTGTTAGAATCTATAAAAATCAACAAATTACAAAACACAGATATAATTCTGAATGACCAACTTGAGACAAACAGTTCTCCCCTCCTCAACCTATTTCATTAGAGACTATAAAGTGTAAACGAATGCCAAAAATAGATCACTTGAGAAAGGCAATCAGCCGAAACAGCTGTAGTGATAAGATTAAAAATAAATTTTGTGGAAGTTTGAAAACAAAGTTTTCAGTGTTTTATTGTTATATAAAATGAATTTCCATCAAGTAACGGTCGAATCCATCAATTATTCCAGTTTATTTACAAATATGTTGTTTACCAAGAAATTTTTGGCTTTTATATCTCAACAGTGGTATCTAAAAGTAAGAGCTCGATCCGGTCGTACCCCAAGATGTTTTGGTTTTTTTAGTGATTAAATAACATTTTCCTAGCAAGCTGTTTGTGCAGTGGTAGGCGCGGTTTTTGAAAGGTTTAATTGTAGATAGTTACTGTATTCTGTTAGCTTTTCTATTGCAACCGACAATTTCTTGATAATTTCTTCACATGTTCCCTCGACAGTCAATGCCGTATTATCAGCATAAGTGTTTTTCCAGGGGTAAGTCGTGCATATATATGTATATATATATATATATATATATATATATATATATATATATATATATATATATATATATATATATATATATCATGCAAAGGAGGGGGTCAGTATACTCTCTTGACGAGATCATTTTTTTATTTCCACAACGACTTTTCTAAGAATGCAAAGTAAATTGCAATTTTGTAAATTGCAGTTACGTGAAATAAGAATAGACTAGGAACAAATAAATAAAACAGACAAGGAAGAGGAACAATGCAGTCCCAGCCTTTCAGAAACCATGAATCAGGATCCCGATAGAGGCCATACTTTCAAATATATAGAGAAACTACTGATAATTCTTAAGAAAACCGTAACGAAGGAAGACCTGTTCCAAAATGAGGCTGCATTGCTTTTTATGAGTTAATTTTCCTTTATGTATGTAGGGTATAAACAAAATATCTTCAAATCGCCGTATAGAAACTTTAGAATATGATACCCTAGAGTAATAATGGCGTAATTTGTAATTTTGTACTTAAATGCATGCATGTTGTTTTTAGAATTATGTAGTTTATATTCTATAATCTCCAATTGTATTTTGAAAGCCATTAGTCCAGTTATAGGCCATTTTTGTGTGGAACTTTGTTATCCCAAGTATATTTTTGTGAAATTTAAGAAGTAGATAGTATTTATCACTTTCTTTTAAATCCATACTGTGCTGAAGTGCGCTTTTACCCTAGGTAAGAAAGCCACCCCTGCTAGGCGGTGAAAAGTTTTTTAATCAAAATAAATACGAAAGTCTATAGACTGACCAATTCTAACAAATTTTTGTTGTACGAATTTTTTTGTTATACTTTTCGAGTAGTTTACGATTGAATGTGTTTCTTTTTTATTTAAAA